TCCCTCACTTTTTCCCTCCCCTCTCCTCTCTAAAAATAAATAAATAAGATCTTTTTTAAAAAACCTTGAATCAGTGGGTTGAGTGCCGGCCTGCAAACCAATATTTCTTCTCTTTACTCTTCAGATTGGGTCATTTCTATTAATTTGTCTTCAAGTTCACTGTCTTTCCATTTTGCTATTGAGTGTGTTATATGTTTTCTATTTCAGGTTTTACATTTTTCAGTTCTAAGATTTTCATTTGATAATTACTTATATCTTCTACTTACTTGCTGTGATTTTCTAGCTTTCCACTTGTTTCAAGAGTATATGCTCTTACTTATTGGAGCTTTCTATACCTGCTTAAAATCTTTGTCTGATAATTGACCCAGTGCTCTAATGTCTGTGTCATCTTGGTGTTCATTTCTGTTGGTTGAATTTTCTCACATGACTTTGAGATTTTCTTTGTTCTCTCTATGCCAAACAATTTTTTTTTTGTTTTGGGCATTTTGAATATTATGTTTTGAAACTTAGTGTCTTGTTTAAATGCCGTGGGAATGATGATACTTGTGTTTTGGCAGGCAGTTTGGCTGAAGCCACAAGTTGCAACTGCCTTTCTGTCGGTTGTGGTTTTAATCTCTGTTCTATTTTCCAAACTTTTGCATTGAATTCTATTTGATTTTTTTCCATATGTGCACTGCCTAGTAGCCATTGGGGGTTTATTCCCATTTTTTAGTATTCAGAATCTATGGTATGCTGCTTATGGTTGGATAAATCTATATACATGTGCAGTTCAGGGGCAAGCTGGGAGTTTATAAATAATTTATAGGTTACTTTCTTAAGCTCTTTCCTCTTTGTTATATCCATGGTATTTTTTAAATTTCTGGGACCCTTTTTTCTGTCTTCTACCTAGAAAGCTTGATATTCATTTACTCCACTGTGTTATGTACTTTCCACAATTGCATTTGGAATCAAGTGACAGAGAGACAGGAGAGAAAAATCAATGAGATTAGGCAAGAGTTGTTTCAGGCAGTGAGGGTGGTCCCTCTTCCTCAGAATTTTAGGCTCCTGCTGACCCTGCTGCTGTCACCCTTGTAGCCAGCACCACCATAGGATTACCTGGGAACTGGGACCTGAAGGATGAAGAAGAGAGGAAAAAGAGAGAGATTTATTTTGTTTTTTCATATCCATTTCTCTTTCATTATTGGTTGGTAGTTGTAAAGTTGGGTGTAGTGAAGCTATTGGTAGAAGTAAAAATGTTGTTGCTGTTTTTATAAATAGATATCCTAATTTACTGGTTCTTCATTTTACTTCCTGATTAAGAATTTTTTTAAAAAAGATTTTATTTCTTTAATTTTAGACAGAGGGGAAGGGAGGGAGAAAGAGAGGGAGAGAAGTATCATTGTGTGGTTGCCTCTCACATGCCCTGCAACCCAGGGGGCCTAGCCCGCAACCCAGGCATGTGCTCTGACTGGGAATCAAACTGGTGACTCTGGTTTGCAGGCCTGTGCTCAATCCACTGAGCTATACCAGCCAGTGGTATACCAGCAAGAATTTTATTTTTAACTGGAATGATATGATGTTGAAAAAATATGTAACTACTGTGATCATGAATAGAAAGAAATTGAGGGTCTTCCAGCCAAGATGGAGGCATAGGTAGACACACTGCGCTTCCTCGCACAACCAAAAGAAGGACAACAATTTTTTTAAAAAAATATTTTATTTTATTTTTACAGAGGGAAGGAAGGGAGAGAGAGAGAGAGAGAGAGAGAGAGAGAGAGAGAGAGAGAGAGAGAAAGAGAAACATCAATGTGCGATTGCTGGGGGCCATGGCCTGCAACCCAGGAATGTACCCTGGCTGGGAATTGAACCTGGGACATTTTGGTTCCCAGCCCGAGCTCAATCCACTGAGCTACGCCAGCCAGAGAAGGACAACAATTTAAAAACAAAAAAAAAAAAACAAGCAGAACTGACAGAAAATTGAACTGTGTGGAAGTCCAACAACAAAGGAGTTAAAGAAGACACACTCATCAAGACCGGTAGGAGGGGTGGGAATGGGCAGCTGGGAGAAGAGGACTCGAGGCAAGATGGTGGCTGGCGGACCCAGTGAGGCAGTGGATTGTGGAGTGGGGTGTGCAAGGCTGTAGCTGGCCGGCAAGGCAGCAGCTGGTGGAGCGGGAAGCCCCACATTCGTGTGCAGATAAACTGGGAGAAACAACTGGGGATTGGGATGGACTGTGCAACCCAGGGCCCCAGCATAGGGAAATAAAGCCCCAAACTACCAATTGAAAACACCTGTGGGGGTTGTGGTGGCAGGAGAAACTCCTAGCCTCACAGGAGAGTTCATTGGAGAGACCCACAGGGTCCTAGAAGGTATACAAACCCACCCATGTGGGAATCAGCACCAGAGGGGCCCAGTTTGCTTGTGGCAAGCTAGGGAAGTGACTGAAATACAGCAGAGAGTGGAGCAAGCGCCATTGTTCCCTCTTGGACCCTTTCCCTACATATAGCATCACAACACAGCGACATGGGTTGCCCTGCCCTGGTGAACACCTAAGGCTCCGCCCCTTATACATAAGAGGCGTGTCAAGACCAAAAAAAAAAAAAAGGGACCCAAATGGAAGAACAGATCAAAGCTCCAGAAAAAATACGACTAAGCGACGAAGAGATAACCAACCTATCAGATGCACAGTTCAGAACACTGGTAATCAGGATGCTCACAGAATTGGTTAAATTTGGTTGCAAATTAGATAAAAAAATGAAGGTTATGCTAACTGAAACAAAGGAAAATGTACAGGGAACCCATAGTGATGGGGAGGAAACTGGGACTCAAATCAACTGTGTGGACCAGAAGGAAGAAAGAAACATCCAACGAGAAAAAAATAAAGAAATAATTCAAAAAAATGAGGAGAGGCTTAGGAACCTTCAGGACATCTTTAAATGTTCCAACATCCAAATTATAGGGGTACCAGAAGGAGAAGAGGAAGAGCAACAAGTGGAAAAGTTATTTGAACAAATAATAAAGGGGAACTTCCCCAGTCTGGCAAAGGAAATAGACTTCCAGGAAGTCTAGGAAGCTCAGAGAGTCCCCAAGAAGTTGGACCCAAGGAGGAACACACCAAGACATATCATAATTACGTTACCCAAGATTAAAATTAGAGAATCCTAGAAGCAGGAACAGGAAAGGAGACAGTTACCTACAAAGGAGTTCCCATCAGACTGTCAGCTGATTTCTCAAACGAGACCTTACAGGCAAGAAGGGGCTGGAAAGAAGTATTCCAAGTCATGAAAGCCAAGGACCTACATCCAAGATTGCTCTGTCCAGCAAAGCTTTCATTTAGAATGGAAGGGCAGATAAAGTGCTTCCCAGATAAGGTCAAGTTAAAGGAGATCATCATCACCAAGCCTTTATTATATGAAATGTTAAAGGGACTTATCTAAGAAAAAGAAGATAAAAAATATGAACAGTAAAATGACAACACCTCACAGTTACTAACCACCACACCAAAAACAAAACAAACTAAGCAAACAACCAGAACAGGAGCAGAACCACAGAAATGGAGATCATCACGTGGAGGGTTTTCAACAGGGGAGTGGGAGGGAGAGATAGGGGGAAAAGGTACAGAAAATAACTAGCATAGATGGTAGGTAGAAAACAGAAAGAGGTAGGGTAAGAATAGTATAGGAAATGTAGAAGCCAAAGAACTTATATGTACAACCCATGGACATGAACTAAAGGGGGGAATGTGGGTGGGAGTAGGTGTGTAGGGTGGAGGGGAGTGAAGGTAGGGAAATGGGACAACTGTAGTAGCATAATCATTAAAATATATTTTAAAAAAAGAAATTGGTGTGTTGAAGGGACATTTTGTTTATTAAAGGCCTATGCTATTTTTTTAATTCATGTTTGGTTAGATAATCAATATACTCAGATAATGTGTAAAAATGTACTAGTTTATAAAATTTGAAGAAAAAATACCTTTCTCCACCAGTAGATATGTTAATTAGTTTGAAAAGCCTTTTCTGGCCATAAGCTTTTAGGATGTGGGGTCAGGCACAATGTGTCTTTTATTGCCCATTGGTCATTTCCATAGAGGAGGTCTAAAATGGCCACAACATCACCTGACATGTGTGCTCTTATTTGCATGTATCCTTCCTTTTTTTTTTAATTAAAATCCTCACTGTTATGTTAAAAAAGACAGTTTCAATTCTGAGTCCATAAAGATGGAAATGCTATAATAGGGGGTAGGTAGAAAAACACATTTTTAATCCATTTGGTCTCAGTTGGTAAGCTTTTTTTTAAACACGTAAATCTTGAAAAGATTTGATGCTCACTGTATGCTTGTATAATGTACTTATCCCATGACTGTACCTGCTGCATTACAGTGTTAATTGTTGGTTTCTGTTTTTGTCAGGTGTATCAGTGCTTAAGGCCTAGCGGTGCCTAGGAAAGAGGGAAACTGACTAAATATTTATTAAATAAATAAATTAGAAGCAGGCTGTGGAAATGTGGGGGGTCTAGAACAGGGCCTGTTTGGAAAAAAGAAAAGTGACAACTGGTTGAGGATACTTTTAAGATCTTGAGTTCAGGAAATAATTTGAATTCTAGTAGTTGTTGAAATGCTGGGATGTTTAAGTATATTTTTTGTGTATTTTTTTCCTACATTGCCTTCTAAGGTGATGTGACCCATCTATTTGTTGGGATAGATTTTTTTAAATTCTCCATTACTTTGTTTTCAGTTGGCTTTTTCCTATATGCTGAAAGTGACTTGTGCTGCTTCACTGAATAAAATGTTTTTATTATTGTTGGCCTTCAGCACCTATGTGTGTCTTCACATTTGAAGGCATGAAGTTACTCTGTCAAAGTGTCTTACATTCTAAATAAATTGTTTTCACATCCAGGGGCCCTCTGGAATAAATTGTTCTTTATACTTTCCAATATCTTTTTTTCTGAACTCAAGTTAAATGCAGGAGCAGCTGAGTGAAAGTGAGTAAAATGGGACTAATTTTTATAATTCCCTCCCCAGAACACTTTGATGGAAAACTGATTACCTGACTGCTTGACCTGAAGAATTTTACAGGTAAGAAGGCTTGTGAATGTTTGTATACTTATTAAACATTTTAAATAACCCTCTTAGAAAACAGGTAAGTAAATGATACCACCTAGGTACCGCTATTGTGGTTACAGCTTAACCATTACCTTTTTTTTTGCTATACTTGCCATATGTTACAGCTATTTACCATTTTTTATGTAAAGTAGAAAATAGGACACAAAAATTTTAGGCTTCTTTGCTTTTTACCTTAGATTGTGTGTCTTGGTTCAACATTTTTATTTCCAGGTAAACCCCGAATCTCGATAAATATCACCAGTGTAGAATAAAGAATTTATTTATGTTTGTGTTATAAGATGTTTGAAAAAGTATTTGACAATTTAAATTTCATGAACTTTTTACTCATACTTTTTTTTGATATGTGGATATTTGAAATGCAGGAGTTTTCTTTTTTTAATAATGAAAATCTATTTGAATCCTACAGATTTATCATGCTATACCTAATAAAATCCATTTGGGGTGGGGAGGTTTTCATGTGTTTGTGCTTGTATGCTTGTTGAGTACTTTTGTGTTAAGCATTTTAAATGGATTATGTGATTGTGTAGTTTTAACCGTTATAATGACTGAAGTGGTTACTACTGTATCTGTATTTTACCAACTAGAAAACAGGCTTTAAAGAGATTAAGGTCAGACAACTAGTGAGGTTTGCAGCCAGAGTTTTTCTAAAACCTGTGCTAAAGGAACTTTCTTGCCCGTATATGAAGAGTACTGGTATTAAAGCTTCAGCACCAAACATGCAAGTGAAGTATATTCTAAACAAAAATATGTCAGAATAACCTAGGCTACCTACAAAGTTTGACAACATTGTTATAAGGTGGAATTCAGGTAAGAAAAATAATACTTGCAGAGCATTCTGCAGTGATTAACAGTGACATATCAGAGGCAGGAGTCAGTTGATTTATGTAGCCAAGAAGCTGGAAAGGAAATAACTATCAAGCTAAAGGAGTTAATTGCCTTAACCTTACTCTGATGTGAATAAATTGAAGGCAGTAGGGCATATATTTGTGATAGTTTAAGCCAGATTGATAAAATAAAGGTAGATAAATCAACAAGATTACATAGCCATCAGGGGAATTTTAAAGGAAATCAAAGATGACATTGCAGAACCATTGACCCAAATGTATAATAAGTAAGTTGTGCCAGAGTACAGATTGAGTACAATGTAGATAGAGTCCTAATCTTAAGAAAGCTTGAATAGCCCTCTGTAATGAGAGACTGAACCACACCTCCAAGCTAGGCAATCTTCTATAGTCTTTAATAGGATTGGCAAACTTTTTATAAAACAGGCCAGAGTGTAATTATTTTAGGCTTTGCAGAGTATATGGTTTCTGTTGCAATTATTTAACTTTGTCATTGTAATGCAAAAGCAGCCATGGGGAATATGTAAAGGAATAAGCATGGCTGTGCTTCAACTAAATTTTATTTGTAAGAAACACTCACTCCGCCCCAGCTGGTGTGGCTCAGTTGGTTGGAGCATAGCATTGTCCTGTACACTGAAAAGTTGTGCGTTCAGTTCTGGTCAGGGCAAATGCCCAGGTGCAGGATTGGTCCTGGTTGGTCAAGGCAACCAGTCAGTGTTTCTCTATTATATCCGTGTTTCTCTGTTATATCAATGTTTCTCTCTCTCTCTCTCTCTCTCTCTCTCTCTCTCTCTCTCCCTCCCTCTCTCCCCCTTCCTCTCTCTCTAAAAGCAATGAAAAAATGTCCTTGGGTGAGGATTAAAAAATAGGAATAATAAATAAAACACAGCCAGTGTTGTTTTTTCCCACTGGACTATAATAATGGATAGACTCCCTCCCTAGACATGATTAACAGCCTTGCTCGTGGTTTCTCCAAGGGAAAATAACATGCTTACAGGTAGAATCAAATTTTTGAGTAGATAATTGAGAGGCACTTTATTTTAAGACTGGAAGATGCTGCATTAATAGTAATGGTTAACATTTGGATGTGTGTTATTGGTAAACAATATCATAAGCCTAAGTTTGCCTAACACTAGTACCCAAGTCATTAATCACTTAAATAACACCTCTCAGAGTACCTTCCTGAATGCCCCCTCTTTTTAAAATTAAAGTTGTTTGGACAGAGAGTTGAATTTGGGGACTGATTTATCTTTGATATAATATTAGAAATAAAGAATAAATAGGAATAGCCTATCTATAAGTTCAGAGGGTCACTGTGGATTCTCTGAATACCTTAGCCATACAAATCAATATAGTATTTAGCATCTTCATGAAGCATTCTTTGTCCTTGGCTTAAGTGTGCCCAACATAGTAACAGCCCATTCTTTCTCCCAGGGTCTTTATCATTCAACCTTGGCTCCCATTTTTATAGTAGAGTCTGTAATGTCAGGATTGGGTTTAGAAATGGGGTGGGAAACAGAATTAAACTTCCTCATGGCCATTCATATACCTTCTTTTTTTTCTTTGTACCCAAAGGATCTGATTGTACCTTCTGACAAAATATTTTATTGGATTTGGTGATTAGTTTGTTAGAAATGTTGATTTGTCTTTTTTTCAGTCTTGTGTTTGCCTTTGTCTTTCACTTTTGTCTAGGGAAAACAAAGAAATTGGGCAAACAACAATTTTATTACCGTTCCCTATTTTTCTGTTCTTACTAGCCATGATGGTGATAACAACAGCCATTAATTACATGGTAGTGGAGTTAAGATTTGAATTTAGATCTGTCGGACTCTTAACATTATATTTATAACTAGAATGTTAATTTCTTTCAGTACTGTGGGTTTGCTTGAAGAATAGTAGGAGGAAGCAAGAACAGGGAATTTTGAAGTGAACTGGAAAAGAAAGTTCTTCTGTTTTGTAGTTGATAGAAGGAAGCACACTTTGGAAAAGGACAAGATGGGAAGAAGGGTAGAAGTTTTAAATGGAGCCAGTCAAAGCTAAAAAGTTTAGTTTCTGTTACCAAAAACCTCTGGTCCTTTGTCTGGTTCCTTGAAGTGCTCCAGCAACTGCTGTAGTAGAAAATACATTGTTAGCATTGCTGGTATAACTTGAAGCAATTTTCTGTTATAGAGGATGGTAGTTATATCCTAGAGCTGTGCTATCCAACAAAGTTGCCAGCAGCCACATTGGAATATGTAGATTAATTAAAACTTAAATAAAGTTAAAATTTTAGTTTTTTCACTTGCCAGATTTCAAGTGCTTTACAGCACTTGAATATTGTTCCCCCAATAGGGAACAATTCCCTATTGGGCAGCACCGTTCTGGGGAACTGAACATCCTTATCTACCAGAGTATTACTATTCAGTGTAAGGCCTGGCCTGGGACTCGCACGTCCGTGTATTCCAGCGTTTGTGTGGGAAAATGTGTGTTAAGTTCCTGGAAACTGTTTCATGTCAGTGGTTTTTTTTTTTTCTTTCATTCCACATTCTAAAAGTTGATAGCTTTTATGATAAATAAAATTTTAAGGGTAGGCCATTTATTCTTCCCAAACTATTTTTATGAACATATTTGAATTAGTATTTTCACATAACAGAGACAGTAATAGTAAAGGGCAACCTGGAAGGTAGAAGTACTTTAAAATCATTATATTAGGGATAATTGACTTAAAAGGTATTTTGGTTTGGAAAGGTACAACCTGGGAAGAGATGTTAAAAATTGAAATTTGCAAATTAAACCCATCTGAAAAGTAAAGAGTTTACCTAAAATCTAGAGTGAACATCCATTCTTAGAAATTTATTTGAGGTAAACTAAAATTAAAAGAAAATTGTTTGATTTATAGATAATTAACTTACAGAACTTAGTAGTAAATAGTCTAGATAGAATATGACTGCCATGGGTGGCATGGCTCGGTTGGGCATTGTCCTGCAAACTGAATGGTCACCAGTTTAATTCCTGATCAGAGCACGTGCTTGGTTGCACGCTCTGTGGTCTGCCCCTGTTGGGGTGATGGCAGAAGGCAACAACATTGATGTTTTCTGTCCCTCTCTTTCTTACTCCCTCCCCCTCTTTCTAAAATAATTTTTTTTAATTAAAAAAAAGGATTCCTTCTCTCCAGATCTCTACTCACCATAATTTAAAAAAAAAAAGTCTATCACTTACAGTTATAGAGTCATAAATACTTAATCATGAAATTGGGTTATATCTAACTTTTCTGGAAACCACGAGGAAGGATAGTCCTGGCCGCCCTTAGCTTATTTCTTAGGTCCTTTATTAACCACAAATTACTGGCTAAGACCATGAGTCTGTATTGTATTCCTGTGCTCCTATTACTGGAAGTTCAAAGCAAAACTGGTATTAAAAACCTTCAATTCTTAGATTAAAAAGTAGAGTCTAGGCAGATAGAACAGATAAACATAAACAGGTTGCAAGTTGTTGAACTGAAATTTGAGACTTATCTAGTGGAAATGCTAAGACCCCATAATTTTGAATGAGTAAACTGGCAATGTAGCGTAATTGTTTTTTAGGTATGGAAATTGTTAATGAATGAAATGTTCCAGAATAAGCACACAACTTCTAAAAAGTTGTAACACTCAGCTTTTAAAGCAGATTTCTAACATACAAGGAAAAGTAGTCTGTAACATGACTGAGGTCTCTTAGCTTCTCAGTGATAAGCTGTTAGGTATTTTTTTTTAAAGATTTTATTTATTTATTTTTAGAGAGGGAAGGGAGGGAGAAAGAGAGAGAAACATTAATGTGTGGTTGCTGGGGGCCGTGGCCTGCAACCCAGGCATGTGTTCTGACTGGGAATCGAACCTGCGATGCTTTGGTTCGCAGCCCTTACTCAATCCACTGAGCTACTCCAGCCAGGGCAGCTGTTAGGTATTTTATCACATGAGTTAGAGAAGACACTACTAATTTTAAAATATAAATTATATATTAATGTAAAAATAATATAAACTTAATGTTCTTAAGGGAGGAAATGTACAAATAACGTGAACTATTCAATGGGATATAAATTATTTAGCTACATGAAAGGATGGTATTTTATATCTTCTGAAAAATTCCTAGGTTTTAAAAATATTGTTAATTTTCCAATTAACATTTTACCACATTGAATTAAGTCCAACTTAAATATATTTTTTAAATATTTAAGATAATGGGGGAGAGGTTATAGTATGACTTTCCCCAAATAAAGAATTACACTCAATTATAGATCATACAGGAGCGCATTATGACTCTAAAATCAATTAAATTGGGAAGTCGTCTAGAGCAGTGTTTCTTAGGCTTTAATGAATACATAGGAATTATATACAGATCTTGATAAAAATGCAGATTTGTATTTACTGGATCTGGGACTGTGCCTGATGTATCTTGCATTTGCAACAAGTTCCCCGGGTAATATTGATACTGTCTTTATTTTTTATGTTAATTTATTGATTAGAGAGAGAGAGAAACATAGATTTGTTGTTTTTACTTATTTATGCATTCATTGGTTGCTTCTCACATGTGTCCTGACCAGGGATCGAACTTGCAACCTTGGTTTATTAGGATGACACTCCAACCAACTGAACTACACAGCAAGGGCGATACTGTCTTGCTGGGTGAATATCAAGTAGAAAAACCTATGACTACCTGAATATTTTAATTTTTTTAATTTGTATTTTTTAAAGATTTTATTTATTTATTTTTAGAAAGAGGGGAGGGAGGGAGAAAAACATTGATGTGTGAGAGAAACATCAAACACTGACTGGTTGCCTCTTGCACACCCCCAACTGGGGATTTGGCCTGCATCCTTTCAATTCATAGCCCCACACTTAATCCACTGAGCCACACCAGCCAGGGCTACCTGAATATTTTAAAAGTAATCCTCTGTCTCAGCAAGTCCATCATTTCTAGTTGCTCAGTTCAAAATACTTTGGAATTGTCCTGGACTCTTGTTCTCTAATATATACCTTGCATTCGATCTTGTCCACAAATCTTTATGGCTGTAGTTTGAAAACACAACTGGAATCTGAGCACTTTTCATCATACTTGATAGTACTCTGGTACAAGCCAGTGTCTTGTGCCTCTAGATCATTGGAGTAGTCGCCATGATGGCCTCTGCTTTTGGTTTGCCACCTCTTCTGTTTAAAATCCCCTGTAGGCCTGTCTCACTCAAAAAAGCAAATACCCTAGTCTTCAAAATGTTGCATGATTTTATGTTCTATTACCTCTCTGTCCTCATCTACTTTTCTTGTCTTGTACTGTATTCTAGCTACATTAATCTGTTTTTGTTCCTTGAACACACCAGACATGCTCCTCTAGTCTGCCTTTGGACTTTCATATTTGCTGTTCTTTTTGCCTAGAATTCAGTTCTTCAGATACCTATGTAACACTATTGCTTCTTTCAGATTGCTAGGTCAACATGTCACTTTGTGAAAAAGGTTTTTTCTAAACACTGCATGAAATAACAGCTTCTCCACTTTCTCACTTTTAACCATACGATTCAGCCTAATTGTATGGCTTTTAAAAATAATTGTATTGTTTTATTTTTCTCTACAGCACTTCTCAACATTTAACGCACTAGATATTTTACTTTATCTCCCCCTATAGAATATAAAGGCAGGACTTTGTGTCTTAATCAGCTCTGTACTTGGGGCATTGCCTAACAGTATGTTCGTAGCACTCACTAAACTTTGGAATAAAAAAAAGTCCCACGATATATTGTTGAGCTCTCTTTGAATACCTTCACTGATAGATTATTCTACCTCCCTGCAGAGCATCCCATTTCATTTGAAGGTAACTGCTAACCTTCTCCTTACTCTTTAGGTTCTTCCAGGCTAAACAGTCTTACTACCTTACCTTTCTGCATATGGTGGTATGGTTTCCAGGGCTGTCACATTCTAGTCATCTTCCCTGGACACTCATCATTTTGTTTGTCCCGAAAGAATAGCACTAGCACTAAAACAGGTTGTACCTGTAGGCTGAATGAGAAGTTTTGCTCTCCGTTTTGACATTCTACTTTTATTAAGGTAGACTGTGATTGAGTTGACTTTTCAAGTAACTCTATTCCTGACTAATTTTAAACTCTTAATCCAGTAAAACCATTAAGTTATTATCATATACAGCATTCTACTAAATTTCTTATCTTCTGCTTTACAGTTGGTTTTTTAACCAAAGTCAGGCCTCTGCATATCTTCTTATATAAACCTAATAAAGAATATTCCTGGGCCGTGGATTCTTTTAATGTAGAAACTAGCATGTGTAAATTATTTAGGAAAACTTATTTTTAAAAGTACTTAATATACATGTGGGAGAGTGATAACAGATGAAATTAGTGATTTCTTGTGTCTAGATATTCTATAAAGTATTTGAATTGTTCATTGAAATCATGTCTTGCATCAATTCAAGAAAGAATTCTAAGAGTTGATTTAAAGAACTTTTACCTCATACCTCTGTTCCTCTTTACTAACAGATTAATTCCCTCTCCCACACTTCTCATTTGCCTCTTGTAATCACCATTTTTCTAATTCTCTAGGCCAGAATAATCTTTGATTCCTTCCTTATATTGTTATTTCTGTATTTAGTCATCAAATCCCACAGATTCTTGAACTCTTTAATTTCATGCTTTTCTGTCCACTTCACTGCCAGTTACTGTAGCTATGCAAATCTCTCAGCTTCTAATGTCTCCCCGCTGAAACCCATTCTGTGCTTTGCTGGCAGGTCATTCTTTTAAATGAATCACTTACATCACTTTTATCACTTTAGTCTTCTTCAGGGGAATCTATAAGATCGAATTTAAACTTCTCATCAACCCTTAGAGATACTTCTATAATCAAACCCTACTTGCTTTACATCGCTCTGCTTTTTGTTTTCCTTACCCCTCACTGTAATCTTTCAGATGAACTTCTTGGCATACATGCTCATCCTTTCTCAGGACACACACTTTTCACTCACTCATTCTTGTTCTTGTCAGATTGGCCTAGGTAAATGATGGTTTTTCCTTGATACTATGTTTCTCCTTTATTGCCTTGAATTCCTCCACGTATATAACTTATCACCTTCGTGGCAAAATTTAGTCCAAATTGATCTCCTTTTTTCTAAGCTCCAATTATATTTATATGTCTGACCACACAATTTATCATTTAGTCTTTATTGTTTTAATACTCTTTAAGGCTTTTTCTTTCAGTAAGACTGTATGCTTGATGGCAAGGACTGTAAAAGTGTACTGGATTATCCACAGAGTTTACTGGCGTGTACTGTTTTCTTTCATGTGTAAAATAATTTCTCACAGTTTTGGGTCTTTTTTATATTATTGAGAGAAGGCATACATTAAAATTCTCTATTATAATTCACCCTATAGGAAACCCCTTTTCAAGGAGAAATGAAGAAGAGAACTGTATATACCTTAAATGTGGGAGATCAGGAGTATGAAGATATGGAAGGTAATTTTTCATTTTTATAAAGTTCTTATGTTGAAAGCAAAACTTAGTGTATTCAAACTGTTCACTTGTATACATTTCAAAATATACAAGGATTTTTATTTTTATTTACTTTTGTTCTTAAATTCTGAAATAAGCTGCCTGAATAAGTACACACATTTTTTCCCCTTTTTTCATGTCTTATTTTTGATTTCTCAAGGTTTTTGGTTTCTTGAGCTCTTTTCTTTTTCTTCTTGAATTTTTGCTTTCTACTGATGTATGAATAACTTTCTGTTATTGTTGTCTTTTGTTTTGTTTGTAAAATAATGGTGGTATTTTCCTCTGCTCTTAAAGTTAATTTTAACCTTCATGGCCAATAGTAAAAGAACCTTAGAACACTTTAACTCTGACCATCTTGCTCTAGTTTTATAGGTTGTAGTCATTCATCATTTTGTTTGTTTTTCTAAATACCACAAATGATATTTGACACAGATAGAATATTTGAGGGGGTCGTTTTTCTCCATTCCTTTTTTTAAAATTTATTTATTTTTAGAGAGGGGGAAGGGAAGGAGAGAGAGGGAGAGAAACATGAATGTGTGGTTGCCTCTTGCATGCCCCCCATTGAGCACCTGGCCTGCAACCCAGGCATGTGCCCTGACTGGGAACCAAACCACAACCCTTTGGTTCTCAGGCCTGCTCTCGATCAACTGAGCTATATACCAGCCAGGGCTCCATTCCTTTTGTTCTGAAAGAATCCCATAAGTTCCGTTACTGGAAAGTCTATTGGTGATAAAATCTGTTTTTGTATTTATTTTTTTCTTCTCAAAACTATTCAAAGATAGAGACACAGTTCTGAATTGATAGTTTTTTTCCCCCTCTTAGCACTTAATTTCGTCATTTTTTGCTATGAAGAGCTCTTTTCAGCCTTGTCATTCTGTTTTGGATGACCTATATTTTCTTTCTTTTGCTTTTAATATTGTTTTCACCATTAATGTATAGCTTTGCTACATTGCTTCAAGGTACAGGTTATTTTCATTTCTCCTGTTTGGCATATCATTTTTTTATTTGTTTATTTTATCATTTCCCAGTAATTATTGCTTTAACCATTGCCTCTCCTTTATTTTTTTCTTCTGGACTTCAATTATGTTAGACTTGGGTCTGACCTCATTTTCTAACCTTTCTTTCATAGGTGATATCTGCCTGTGTGTCTCTTATAGTCTGAGTAATTTTCTTTCTCTTCCAGTTCACAATTATTTTTTTCTTCTGGGTCTAGTCTGCTGTTCAGTCATTCTATGTAGTAGTTGAAAATTCCAATATTTGAAGTCAGTGTGTATCTAAATAAATTTATAATAAATAAATATAACATGTAAATATAAAAATAAATAAATCTAAATAAATTCTTGTTTCTGCTAATTCTTACTCAAGGCAGTTTATTTTCTTAGGTGTGGTAATGTTTGATTATGAGCTCATATTTGATAAATTTAATTTGTGGAATCCTGGAGGGCTAAATTAAGGATGCTTTCCTGCAGAGGATTTGTGTATGTTTTTCCTTGAACCTTTGTTGGAACTACTTTAGCATCACTTGAGGGTCTTGTTTTAACATGGGAATCTCTTAGAAAGTTTCCCTACCGAGGTTGGTCCTAATGGTTAGTCTTCAGATCTGAACACTAGTGTGGATGTTTGCTCCCAGGAAGATCCCAGATTTTCTGTTTGCTTGGTGTATACTGTTCACGTTTCAACTGACCATTTTTTTTTATTTTTGTTTCATTTTATGTTGAATTTTGGAGTTGCCTTTATTTACTTTTGAGTCAGCAATGCATAATTTTGTATGTTGGTTACATTGCTGGTGGGTATTTAAATTAGTGCAAACCCTTAGAGGTATAACTTGGTATATCCAAATTAAAAATGTACATATGTGTTGATCTGACATAATTCATTTTAGGAATTTAATCCTATAAATAACTATTAAAATATGAAATTACAAAGTTGTTCATTGCAGTATTGTTATAATAACTAAAGGTTGAAAACAGGTGAATGTTCATCAGTAGGTTCAACGATACAAAAAGCAAACTGGTGTGTATAGTGTTCTAGCATATGTGTGAAGGAGATTTGAAAGAACATGTGTTAGGATTTGCTTATCTATGCATTAAAAAAATCTTGGAAAGAATGGAGAGGAAACTTAACAGTTGTGAAATGTTGGGTGGAACTGGATAGATGGGGGTAGATATGAGTGGGAGATTTGTCACTGTGACTTTTTTTTACTTCTAAATTTTCAAGCCATGTGATAATTTTAAAAATAAATGCATGAAAAATTCTTTTCATTGCCCTATTAAAAATATAAATTAATATTGGGAGTATTATGCTCAAAGTATGTTTTTATAATGTATCTAGATCTAATTACTTCATAGAAGAAAGGCCCTTTGTTGTTTTCTAGCTCATGATATTGCCACAAACATAAGTCATTTGGTCTGGGGAACTTAAAAGAATATATGGCTGCTTTCCTTTACAGGTGAAGAAAACAAAGATAATACTGCTACCACTGTTCTGTTGTACAGTGAAGCTGACAGATGTCCTATATGTCTTAATTGCCTGTTAGAGAAGGAAGTTGGTTTTCCAGAAAGCTGTAATCATGTCTTCTGTATGACCTGTATTCTTAAATGGGCAGAGGTGAGTCTTAAATATTAAGTAAGTATTAAATATTATTGTATTTTAGTTTCTTACCATGATTTCATTCCACCTAGTCTAAAGATTTGACACTCCTTTTCATAAATTACTTCACAGTAATATGTGTTCCCCTTACTTTGGAAAAATTTCCCTGTATTATTCAAATTCTGTCAGTATATTCAGCTTTTGTTCTTTTATAAAAATTTTAAATATATACCTTTAAAAATTTTTAATAACTTTATAGGCATAACAGATTAAGTATTCTTTTCTGGTAGAAATATAGTTACTCATCTTCAGTGTACTTGATCCTCTTGGGATAATATCTCTTTACTACTAATATGTTCTGTCTACTTCGTGTTTTATATTTTCCAGAGAATTTTTACATAGATTATTTGATTTCGTGTTTATAGCAGCCTTCTGGGACAACCAGAGCAGATGTAATAATGTCCTTCCGTTTTACAGATGAGGAGATTTGGATTTTTGCATTCTGTAACTTGGCCAAGGTTTCAAAGCTTAAAAAGCAGAAATGAATCTTGAATTGCACTTTCTAATTTAGTCTGAACTCATTTCAGAGTCTGAGTTATATTACCAAATTTCTTCATAGATTATAAATGATTAAAAAACAGGACACTTGCAGACTTTAATGTATGTATTGTGTTGATTCAATTTGGGCCTGTGTAAGTTGATCATAGTACTGGTACATTGAATATTCATTGTAAGGCCCATTGTTATGGGTTGTGAAATAACTCATTGTCATATTAATACTATGTGTTCAGAATTAGTACTTTGTCAGTGTATAAGTATTAGTAAAGGAGGCAAATGTCAAATATTTTTAACATTAATTACATTCAAATTGTTTGATATCCCTAAATACATTGGACTTAACCATATTTTTCGCACTATAAGACGCACCCCCCCAATTTGGGAGGAAAGGGGGTGCGTCTTATATTCCAAATATAGCTTATCTGACTCACTGTGGGGGGGCAGCAGCCTATGTTATTTATGTTATTAAGTGTTTTATCACATTTTTTTCTTCAACTTTTTTTTCCTATTTTCCTCCTCTAAAACCTAGGTACGTCTTCTAGTCCTAAAAATATGGTATTCATTGATTACGTAATTGGGGTTTTGGAGTTCTACATTGTACTCATATTTTTATAAGTAGTGTGGAAAGGAGAACATAACTGTACACTGACTATAACTGGGGTTTGGGAGAAGGGGGGAAAGATTTGTACCAATTGAATTCATAGTCATATACTTCGAAACAGGTCTATTTAGATTAAAACCTAAACTGGTCTTTGGCAGAAAGGGACTAAGGATAGGTGAAAATGTATTTAGGGGGAAAGTATTTTGAGTTTAATTATTTGATATAATTATAGATCTCTGTGTTTGCAGGAGCACTGACTAATGAAATAAGAATGCTTATTCTCAAAGGTGACTTTTTTTTACTCTTCTGGTCCCAAGATATGGCCAGAAGGGATAGCACCGTCACCAAGAATAATTTGGAGGTTGCCAAGGACTTGTTTTAAAGTGTTTTCAAGTCCGACCGAGAACTCTGACATTTAGAAAACAAACAAACAAAAAGAATGCCTATTCTCTACCACCCAACTAAAGATTTTGTCTGCGATGAATTTAGTGCATCTGGGTTTGCTTTGTGATTAAATGTTTATAAAACAGAGATTTGCTTTTAGTAGAGAAGCAGTATTACCGGATTGGTAGAAGGCTCCAATTTAGTGCTTTTCATGAGATTGTGTTCAGTGACTACATAATTGTGAAGTTCAGCAACATAATCTGAGTATGTGTTTTTCTCTATGAAAATTAGAATTTGTAAAATAGACATGATTCTCCATCCTTCCTTATACTGTAAATCAGGGGTGTCCAACTCATTTTCACCAGGGGCCGCGTCAGCCTCGAGGTTGCCTTCAAAAGGCCAAATGTAATTTCAACTCCTTAACAGTTAAGGAGTAGTTACATTTATACAGTCCTAAAATTTATTTTGGCCCTTTGGAGGCAACCACGAGGCTGATGTGGCCCTTGGTGAAAATGAGTTGGACACCCCTGTTCTACATGCATCTTTCATACAACCATAAATTTTATTATGGTGTCCATGTTCCTGGTTTCTCTAGAGTATATATCTAGAAGTGGAACTACTTGGTTGTACAGTGTGTATATATTTAACCCTACTGAACAGAGCTAAACTTACCAAGGCTTTTAACTCTTGTTAAATATTTTTAAGTTGAAAATACTTGATAACATACATAATGTTGCATTCGACACCTTTCTTGCATGTAATACTTCTTTTGTGTTACTCTTGCATATAAACATTTCATTGAAGCTAAATTGCTTTTAAAGGAGTACTTATCTGCTGTACTGCCATTGCAACTAAATTGTGATGGGGGTAGGGTGTTGTGGTAAATAAAAGTAATTAACCTTGAAAATGGAAAGTAAACAGAATATTCTGAATTTATTGTCCTTAATGGGGATAGCAGCCACCAGATCAGTTAAATAAACCATTAGAGTGGTAAGAAGAGTACAATCTACTAATAAATTGTTTAAGTAATAAATGAATACCGTTTAACAAAATCACCTAGTCTTCGAACTAAATTTTTAGTTTGAATCTTTTATTGGAATGATAAAAATTAGATGTGTTTTGAAGTGTATATATATACTCTGACAAATAGGATCAGATTTTAGATTCACTAGTGTTTTTTCCATGGCTATTAAGTTATTAGTCTCTTCTCATTTTCCTCAAACCTCTCCTGTTTTTGTTTGTTTGTTTTTTATCCTCACCTGAGGACACGCTCATTGATTTTAGAGAGAGGGGAAGGGAGGGGGTGAGGGAGGGAGAGAAAGGGAGAGGAACATCAACCAGCTGCCTCTCTTGTGTGCCCTAACCTGGGGCTGAACCCACAACCCAGGTATGTGCCCTGACTAGGAATCAAACCTGTGACCTCTTGGTTTATGGGATGATGTTCCAACCAACTGAGCCACAGTAGCCAGGACTCAAACCCTTCCTGCTTTTAAAGAGAAGGCATATAGTTTACTTTGGATTTTAGGATTAGGAAGTAAATGTCTATATTCATAGTCTACTAATTATCCAGGCCCTATGGTAATATTCTTTCATTTAAATCACTGTCAGTGTTTATTTGATATTCAAGGCAAGGATTCTGAATGCTAATTTGTTTCTAAGCATCTCAAGGATAGCCTGAAATTAAAATAATTTTTAAAAATTGATCTGTAGTTTAAATTTTTACTAATGTTCACTTCTAGTAGGAAAGTAGAAATTAAAGTGAGATTTCTTTTAAGATTTTATTTATTTATTTTTAGAGAGAAGGAAAGGGAGAGAGAAAGAGAGGGAAAGAAACATCACTGTGTGGTTGCCTCTTATGTGCCCCCCACTGGGGATCTGGCCTGCAACCCAGGCATGTGCCCTGACCGGGAATCAAACTGGCAACCCTTTGGTTAGCAGGCCAGCGTTCAATCCACTGAGCCACACCACGTAGGGCCAAAGTGAGATTTATAGTGGTTGGATATATACATAGTAAGAAAACAGTACAAAATGTATGCAGGATCATCTTCCTAGTCTTATGTGTTTTTCAGAAATTCAGCTGTACTGTCTGAAAATTTGTACTTAAGGTTCACTGAAATATGATTCAGAGTGGATATCAAGAACCAGAAAGAAGGACTCAATTTATCTTCCCTTTAACATTTTAGGCATGAAGAAATTCTGCTTTGTAAGGAACAAGTAAAGTTAAGGTATATAAAAATTGAGTATATTTGTTTTGGACACATTCCTGAAAGTTTTTGTGTTTTTAAAGTATCTATATCCAAAGTTAATTTCAGTCTTTTCATGCTCTAAAATTTTGATTTGTGGTTATTTAAAACAAAAGCCAGGTAAGGACTTTAAAGTGATTAAATAACTGAACTTAGTCTTTAGGTATTTCATAGAATCTACTTTAGAGCAAAAAGATTCAGGATAATGGAACCTGTGGTGGCCTAAATGTCCCATGGCCTAATTGCCTGCCCTTAAGGACACTAGAGCAAATTCAGGTTAAGCATGTCCACTATAACTATGTTTAATTTCAAGGAACTCATAATAAGCCTTTTGGTTTATAAAATTATAGAAATAGAATAGTGAACTAAACAAAGACACAGTAGTCAACACTTAAGGAGAGTTGAAATTTTTGTTAAAGCATCAATATTACAGTTGAGAATCTTCAATTAAACAAAAGAAAGCCTTTAAACTGATGAAATACGTATAGAGCCAATATACTAAAGTTTATCAGCCACTCAGAGTTATTTATGTTACCCACCCTGTGAGCAAAAACACAGTCTAAACATAGAGTTTTTAACTTGCACATGAGTTTGTCTGAACTTGCACATTTTAAAGTACAGTCATGTACTACATGATGTCATTTTGGTCAGCTACGGCCTGCGTTTACAACAGTGGTCCAATAAGACTATAATGGAGTGGGAAAATTCTCTCGCTTTGAAGTTGTAGCCGTCACAGTGTGTGAAACAACTCATTACTCACATGTTTGTGGTGGTGCTGGCGTAAACAAACCCTCTGCACTGCCAGTCATAAAAGTATAGCAATAGTTATGTACTGTGCATAATACTTGATGATATGACAAACAACTATGTTACTGGTTTATGATTTACTACACTGTACTTTTCTTTTAAGAGAGAGAGGAAGGGAGGGAGAGAGAAACATCAACCAGTTACCTCTCGCACATGCTCCAACTGGGGACTGAACCTACAACCCAGACATGTATCCTGACCAGGAATCAAACCTTCGACCTTTCGGTTTATGGGATGACACTTCAGCCAACTGAGCCACATTGGCCAGGGCTATGCTATACTTTTTATTGTTATTTTATAATGTACTCTTTTACCTATTAAAAAAAGTTTGCTATAAAACAGTATGCTGTGTTAAACTGGCAGCAGCCTCGTACATCTTGTGAATACCTTGTCTCTTGAGTGCATCATTTTTTGTGTGTTTAATT